GCAAGGCACTGGCCTGTTTCGCGGGGGGCTACAAGAAGCGTGGGGACCTCGGCCTTGGAGCTGGGTGCCCATTGAATCTGATTTTCAGATAGGGATAAGAGTGACTCATGTGTATACAACTATGCATTCACACACACACACACACACTATTATATATATATATACATATATATATATATATATTATAAAAGGAGCTTTCACAAAAGTTAGTGTTTTTAACATGTTTGGTGTTTTCAGATATTCACACACACACATATATATATATGTACGTATGTATACTGTATATGTATGTGATCTATCTCAATAGATGTGGATGATGTGGCGCATCAATAGCGATGGTGGCATCATTAGGAATCAGCAAAGTTTGGTTGATGGATGTATATGTAAGATCCACCAGGCTGCCATGATTGGTGCATCCTGAGGCCTTCCAGTGCCCAATCCTCCCTACAATTGCCGTAACGTTTTGAAGAACAGCATGCAGGCAGGTGGTTGTTGCGAATCTTCCATCCGTTCCATTTGCTGATTTTGCTGGGGACTCTGATTGAGACAGATTCAAGGAATTGGGATGCGAAATTCATCCTAAGTCACAAGTAATCACGTGTTCAGTTTCTTTTTTAGTAAGGGAATATGTTATTCCTTGTTTGACCTGGTGGGCACTGTTTGGAACGAACCCCTTCAATACCTTCTGGTAATTTGCTAGTAGCTATGAGGACAACCACCATCGTCAACATGTATTTTTAGTAGGTCCATGTTAGTGGTCTTCATCGATTTTGAACATTCAATGTCCAACTACTATCTTGGAATAGTATCATATATTTAATAGCTATTGTGGAAACTTAGAAAATCACATTTTCCAGTGTATCTATTACTACCTTGGAAAATAACATTATCATATATGAAGTAGATCAATTTTCCATAGCTCTTCTGGTCCCAGTTCGCCCGTCAGTAGGGAAAAAACGCCTGCAGGTGGATGGGCATCATCAGGACCGTACCTGCAAGGCGCCAGCGGTGATTGCGTTCGTGCACATAGACAAGCAGCATTCACACACATATAGGATATCTATCTATCTACATACCTATCTATCTATTTGTTTGTCTATCTATCTCTATATGTCTCTATGTCTCTGATTCTCTATATCTCTATAGATACATATCGATATATATATATATATACACATATGCATATATATATATATCAATCTCTATCTCTATATCTATCTACCTACCTATTCTACCTATTCTACGTATTTTACCTATCTATATATCTATCTATCTACCTATCTGACCTATCTATCTGTTTGTCTATCTATTTATCCAATCTATCTTTCTATCTATCTGTCTGTCTGTCTGTGTCTGTCTGTCTGTCTATCTATCTTATCTTATCCTATCTTATCCTTCTTATCTATCTCATCTATCTCATCTATCTCATCTATCTCGTCTATCTCATCTATCTCATTTATCTCATCTATCTCATCTATCTTGTCTATCTTATCTATCTTATCTATCTTATCTATCTTATCTACCTTATCTACCTATCTACCTGTCTACCTGTCTACCTGTCTACCTGTCTATCTATCTATCTACCTATCTACCTATCTACCTATCTACCTATCTACCTATCTACCTATCTACCTATCTACCTATCTACCTATCTACCTATCTACCTATCTACCTATCTACCTATCTACCTATCTATCTATCTATCTATCTATCTATCTATGTATGTGTGAGTTTATGGTTCATGTTTTGAGCCCCCAGGAAAAATCAGTACGGGGAACCTCCTTGGAACTTCGAAATATGCTTCGGATTGGAGCCGCATTTATGCTTCGGCTTGGCTATCCGTAGATCTTTCCGACAGGAAGCGCATGAGAGTGGCACCTGGTACCGTGCAGCAGCATGCTGGGATTATGGTGCCAGTGCAACCTGGCAGCGAGGAAGTCTTGGGATCGAAGACCTGGGATGAAAAAAGAGGTCACCTGGGTCCAGGGGAAGTTATGTCCCTAAGAATCAGTGATGAAAATAGGGTACTGTACCACACATGTTTGATGGTTTATATGTTTTTTTTGCCCCATTAAATGGAAATAGGAAGGGTATACATCATTTTCAGACACACGCAGCATGTCAAAGATTTTGGACCATTGGATTTGAGTTGATTACAATACATCTTGGGACCTGGTATGTAAAAGGTGCTTGCCGTCCCAGCCCTTGTGGACCCAATTTTGAGGTATGTTGACCCATCGTATAGTCCAGTTCTCACACATTTGCTGTAGATCTTTATCCTACAGGGTGGCATCCGCCTATCATCCTCATTGACTATAGATATAACCTCCATAAACCCTAGTTCTTGGACTTATAAATAAACATTTATAAACCCGACCTGGGTCATCACCCTGCACTTCCATTTTTCACAACCATGGCGCTGGCAAATCAATTGACCGGACCAAGCTCCACTCGGGGTCAAAGTTGGGAACGATTAAAATATATATCCCAACAAGACAATATTGAAGCATACATGTACAGTTACATAAAAAAACGCGTGTGTATATATATATATGTGTGTATAAAGGTATCGGCTGTAAGTGTACTGTCCAGGAAGAACTTCCAACAATGGGCCGAATTGGAAAAAACATATATATATATGTATATATCATGTGTGTGTATATAATTACAAATATATGTATATATATATATATCATATATTACATGATACTCACTAAATTTAGATCTTACTGATATGACATTATAATGACACTGATATGACACGCCAGGCGGCCCATCGCGCGCAATGCGTCAAGAGCCCCATCGACCTGGATGCTTCCCTTGCCGCCGGGAGCAGCGGGAGAGACAGCGAGGCGTCGCTGCAGTTTGTGATGAAAGCTGTGCCACGGCCACGATGGGGCCCGGGGTGAGATTATCTGGTTGGTGGTTTGGAACATTTTTTCATTTTCCATATATTGGGAATAATAGGCCCATTTGACTAATATTTTTCAGAGGGGTTGAAACCACCAACAAGTTATAGATGAAGTTTATGTGGCTTTATATGGGTTTTTATGGCTTTATATGGGTTTATATGACTTTTTATGGCTTTATATGTCTTTATATGGCTTTATATGGGTTTATATGGTTTTATATGGCTTTATTAACTTTATATGGGTTCATATGGCTTTATATGGGTTTACATGGCTTTGTATGGGTTTACATGGCTGGATATGGGCTTATATGGCTTTCTATGGGTTTATATGGCTTTATATGGCTTTATATATGGCTTTATATGGCTTTGTATGGCTTTATATGGGTTTATATCGCTTTCTATGGCTTTATATGGCTTTCTATGGGTATATATGGCTTTATATGGGTTTATATGGCTTTATATGGCTTTATATGACTTTGTATGGCTTTCTATGGGTATATATATGGCTTTATCTATGGCTTTATAGGGCTTTATATGGCTTTATATGGGTTTATATGGCTTTATATATGGCTTTATATGGGTTTATATGGCTTTATATGTGGCTTTATATGGCTTGATATGGGTTTATATGGCTTTACATGGGTATATATCGTTTTATATGGGTTTATATGGCTTCATATGGCTTTAGGTGGGTATATATCGCTTTATACGGGTTTATATGGCTTTATATGGGTATATATCGCTTTATATGGCTTTATATGGGTATAATGTTGGTTCCTGACTAGTGTGTGGCCCCCCCCCCTCCCCCCCCTTCCCCCTAAACTATATCTGGACTCTCTTTAAAGTAGAAAGTCAAAAAAATTCTTCCCAAAAGAAAACCATATCCTCAGTTAAGTAAGGATTTCAATTGGCTACAATTGAAATCTAATTGCTATTGTTTTTTTTGCCGATGAAGTTGTGGTATTTGTAGTACTTGTAGTACTTGTAGTACATGTAGTACTTGTAGTACTTGTAGTACTTGTAGTACTTGTAGTACTAGTAGTACATGTAGTACTTGTAGTACTTCTAGTACTTGTAGTACTTGTAGTACTTGTAGT